CCATTCGAGACAAACATATCAACAATCAAAAAATAAGTAAACAACAACAACAACATAATACCATTTGAAAAATAGTGTCCAATGACAAACGTGGAAAATATTTGAAAAATGTAAACATAAAACACGACTAATTCTCAACTTGCCAGTGCCAGTGTCGTCAAATCATTAATTGTGAGAGAGTCAATAATTACATGCATCAATAATTCAAAATCATTACTATGGGTAAGAGCTTTGACTCCGGTTAACATAACCCACAGTTAACCACATTATAGTGCTTGACAATAACCCATTGTCCTACACGTTATGGAAAATCTAAACATCCGTAGCTACACAATAACATTGTTTCAGAACAGAAGTTCGTGCAGAGGGAAAAATCACTATTATTCAGGTAATTACATCAAGGTCATTCTTAAATGGGGGGTTACTATTGTTACCAAATTCATTCTCAAAAAGCTAGTTATTTCCATGGGAGCAGAGTCGTAGTTACTAGTTACTGAACACTACCATTGTAGTCTGACTTCTAAATTCATTCTCAAATTGTCCGTTATTTCCATGGGAGCATAGTCGTAGTGACTAGTTTCTGAACACTACCATTGTAGTCTGACTTCTAAATTCAATCTCAAATTGTCCATTGTTTCCATGGGAGCATAGTCGTAGTGAATAGTTTCTGAACACTACCATTGTAGTCTGACTTCTAAATTCATTCTCAAATTGTCCATTGTTTCCATGGGAGCATAGTCGTAGTGAATAGTTTCTGAACACTACCATTGTAGTCTGACTTCTAAATTCATTCTCAAATTGTCCATTGTTTCCATGGGAGCATAGTCGTAGTGAATAGTTACTGAACACTACTGTTGTAGTCTGCCTAATTCATTATCCGTTCTTGCAATATCTTGCATGGAATAGAGATGGCTGTATCTTCGTTAGTCTTTTGAGGAAATAAAATATATGATTATAAAATGTTATTATATATATATTGATACGAGGGTCGTAGTGAATAGCTAGTAAACATGCCTATTGTTTTTATCCAACCACTGGATAAAAAACAAAAGTTATTTCATGCTGTGGGAATACACTTGATTTGATTGCAATGTTAATGAAACAGGGGAGGTCATCTTTTATTCCCAATGTCATAAAACATTAATAACATTAAAGTATACTACACTTGTGAGCTCCACTTTCGAGATCGGGTTTAACTATGAAAAGTGCAACTAAACCATGGGATACACTTTCCCATTTACGAAGTACTATTTGACTGGTGAGGAACTTAGAGAAAGCTGACACCAACCCCGTAGCAAGGTGGGAATCCCCATGGCCAAGAATTTATTTTGAATAGCTAGAATATGGGTTCTTGAACGGGACATTAATGCTTTACTAAGGCATTTTTGAAAATGTTAATTAGCTCCATATATGTGCTTTCCGTTATTGGCCCTCAATAAATCATCATTCTCTATATCTTGATTGTTTGAAGATCTACTCTCCCGGTTTGCTGGTCTAATAAAATTTGATACGATTGTTTTGTTCATGTATAATCAATAAATACATTGCATGATGGGTAATATATCCCTCACAGCAAATAGCCCTTACAACAAAGTTTACAAATAATCAATAAGTGCATGATGGGTAATATATCCCTCACAGCAAATAGCCCTTACAACAAAGTTTACAAATAATCAATAAGTGCATGATGGGTAATATACCCCTCACAGCAAAGAGCCCTTACATCACAGTTTACAAATAATTAATAAGTGCATGATGGGTAATATACCCCTTACAGAAAAGAGCCCTTACATCACAGTTTACAAATAATTAACAAGTGCATGATGGGTAATATATCCCTCACAGCAAAGAGCCCTTACAATACAGTTTACAAAAAATCAATAAATGCATGATGGGAACTTATTGTTACTATTGTTGATATAACAGATATGTGGAATAATATGTTTAATCTCAAATGAGCTGAACGCAATATTCATATCTTTTTTATTTATAGATGATTAATAATTTACATCTCTAAAGTACATCGGGCTGCGATTTGAGAAATTCTAATTTGAACTTTGTCAATTTAACATGCATCTCAATGGTTTTTCAGTCTTAAATTAAGTATTACAAAATACGATGACCCCAGGGGTCAGAAGAACCATATAGCTCAAAAAGGCTGGAGGGATTGGAGTGAAAGTTTGGAAATCACTTCAGAAAACCCCAAACATTCAAGGAAACATTGGATATTCAGTCAACCATGACCCTTTATGTTGGCTCTGTGTGTGATTCCTATTTCTGCTTTATATTAGTATAACTAATGCCTTAAATAGGGGGTATACTATATATGCATTAAGAAGCCAGGCCCGTAGCCAGGATTTGCCAAGGGGGGTTCAGTTTTAAGAATTTTTCAGGGGGGTTCACATTTGACAATTTTGGCCCAAATATGGCTAAAATCACTTGAGAAGTGCGCAAAATGGTGAAAACTGCATGATTTTGAGTGAACCCCTCCCCCTGGCTACGGGCCTGGAAGCTGAATAAAACCCGTACTTTGTTACATCATGTAGCTATGCTATTATGAATAAAACATCAATATATAATAAATTTATTGGAATTATTCCATAGAGAACATTATTTTAGTTTTACTTAGTATTCAATTGCATTCCTATTATTTCTATGGAACTTCAATGTAATGAGTTTTATATGGATTAATAATAGAATTCTGTTAAGAGTTTAATAAAATGCGAATAAATGGTCTAGTAGCCTGGGTATATTTAAATGCTCACTTTTCTTTTATGTAACTTTTTAGATTTATCATTCCCACAAACCAATTTTGTATACATATTTGGATGATAGAGTAAATTTCTGACATACAAAATAGATATCTAAAATAACTCAAATTTTTTATTTTATTTCTGTTCAAAGTAAAAATGATGTAAACAAAAAATGATTCTACTGTATGTCTTAAAAGAAATGATTCGAGAAAATATGACTATTTAAGAATCCGGACTATGTTAGGCAAAACTAGGCCCTGTCGCCTTAACCATTGGGTTGTAGGTTCAAGACGCGTGAGATGTAAAAACAAAACATCAAATTTGTCCGAAGCAGGGGTAACGCTCAATTAGACCGATTCAATGAAATACAAGTCTGGGTTAGGAGAAAGAAGTTCATCAATGTACTGCGCTAATAATTTCGTTATAAAAAATCTTGAAATATCACCCAAATTAAATTATGACTATTCAAAAGAAGACATTCAAATCTACATTTTGTAAAAAAATCAAATTTATCCGAAGAACGTTCAATTAGGGTGATGAACTTCGTTCTCCAAACCGTCCTTTATTGAGAAGCAACCTGTCCGGGGTACTAATATGTAATCTAATTAGTGTCTCCAAACCACAAGAGAGTATTGCGTGCAGACTAAAATAACGATCATAGTAAAAGCTGAGATATGAAAATATTTATTTTACATGTCGAGTCAGCGAGGCTTTGTTTGACATCAAAACGAATCGTTATTTACTTTTATTTTTCTACTTTAGGTGAAAGCCCTACCATTGATGAGTTCACATTCAGTTCTCATGTGCGAGTACTGGGATTAACGATAATCTGTATTGTGTTGGGGAGGTCTTAGTAAAGCCATATAGAACAAATGTACTGGGAATTATCATTGTCAAGAATACTATCTTACCTTGATACTAACTCAATATTACTAAAGGATATCGGTGATTTCTCATTTTGAAGCGCATACATCTATTCATATAATTTACCATCCACAATTTAGGATTGTGCACTGACCTGGATGACATCATCAAAAAGTGCGTAGAATCATTCGCTGTTTTTACATTGAGAGGTCAAAGCCTCATTTTGAATACAAATTCTAAATTTTAGAAATCAGAGCAAATCTCTTTATTTGCAGTCCAGTGGAAGTCTAAGTAATTTATTGCTCACCAAAAGGATTGGTATCGATATGGTGAACTTTTTGAACACACGTTTCTCTCAAACCAGTCATCAAAAAATTCTGAAAATTTTACACATCGTCAATGTAATGGTCATCTTTTGGATGATAACAATATAATTTGAGAAAAATACATATGTATTTCTCTATATTGTTTTAGAAAATACATCAGACACTTCTTTTGTTTATTTTTCTGATATTTTTTTTTTATTATTTATTATATTATTATAGTTTGGAAAATGTAGTTGTCTTAAATTTTAAAAATAAATCATACTTTTTGAATGAGTGAAGATTTTACAACTTTTTTTATTTATTTTTGATTACGTTTTTTCACACTGATACACTAATTAAAGTATCAAGTGTTAGATAATAAATATTTAAGAAAATAGTTTAATTCTAAAGTAGCAAAACTCTCTCTTGAGAAGTTAAGCGAATACAAAAGGCAATTATTTAAATATAATCATTAATGTCGTTAACATCTTGGCCACATGAGCATTTTGCTGCTTTTTGGCATTAGCTTGAATATTGTATAATATGAGAAGTTAAATTTGGTAAAATTAGACCAATTGCTCTCAATGCAAAGCTTTTTTTGTGAAGATGGATAGATATCACCAAAGTTAAAGCCATTTTGGAAAGATATTATGCGACTGGTATAATAGTCGCCCTGAGAAGTCAAGGGGTTAGAAAAATGATAAGATTACTAGTATCTAGAATATAAAAAAAATTAAAAATGCAACAATATGAAGTTGATGGACTAAATTTATATTTTGATAATTCCACATAATTTCATTTCCGAGATGAACCAAACATAGTCTCAAACATTAATTTTGATTTGTTTTTGATATTTTTATATGGAACATTATGTGCAATGAGTCTCGTTGAGTTAATTTATATTGTACTCACCATTTATCAAATAGAACAGTAAATAATAATTCTATTATGTTTCGAAACCTTACTACTTTGAATATTTGGCCTGGCACCAACTCTTAATCTTTTAATAATAATTAATACTTAATTTAATAATACACGTTAAAATGTTACTTTAACAACAACACAAAATAATGCTTACTTCTTTTTCTTCTTCTTCGGTGCATCCTTCTTTCTACAAGCACTTAACATAACCGACATCTTGACTGCTTTTTATTTGCGTCGTTTCTATGTCCGATTGCGTATTAATGTGAGGCCGTTACACTTCTCCCCTTATAATCAATGTGTTGTCCTCGCAAGTCACTTGGTTTACCAGTTGATAAACATTCAACAACGCAAACCAGAGATGACTATGGTTCACTTCAGAATTCCCCGATAATCCATACGTCCCTTCCTTAAACAAGTTCTAATTTCACTGTTGTAATAAGTCGATTGAACTGTTACCTGACTAAATACAAAATCGCATATTTCCTTTTGATCAAACCGAGAATTATGCTTAAACTGAGTGGTCTATCGACGAGAAAACTACACAGAAATTATGTCCATGACCTGGTTTTTATGAAAGTGTAGAATATTTTAATACTTCATTCAAAATTTACGGAGAAAATAACGAAAATGCTCTATAAGCAGACGACTTTTCTAACGGGTGTCAATTGCTAGCTGCCGTTGTGCTAGGAGGTTCAATGCTATTCAACCATTGTAACGATCATGTATTGCATTAAATTACGTGAATGGTGTCGTACGTCTTATAAAAACCAGGATTTCCTCTCCTGGATATACGCAAAGGAATATCCAGAGTTAGCTGAAGTATTGCTCTCGTAAAAAGTAATCTCCAGTATAAAAGAGATTACTCATTGTTCATTATTGTTATATACGTTGAACGAAGGGATTTCTTAAATTCTTGTAGAAAATGAAACAATACATACAAGAAACGATACAGTTTAAATATCTAAAAATATGTGATTGGAGGTTAAACAATAGAGTGTAATATTGATAACCCCGAGTATTCCCTTCTAAGATACAATTACTCCAAGCATAATACTATAATCCATGTCGTGTTTTATGTTTATCCACACATACCACAATGCAAGGCTTTTTTCTCAAGGGAGTAATGAGTCGATATTCCTATTTTCATGGTTTTCCCAGCATTGGTATTATTGCAAGTATTTTTCTGCCGCCATTTTAAAATTATATTTTGGAAATGGTATGATTTTTATCTATATTTCAAGTCACTACGGAGTTCAAACATTATGAGGCTTTTCTGATATTCCAAAAGGGGGGTTAGAATTGCAAAACTTTTGGAGGAGGGTAAATAACTTGATTTTTCTTCGACAAAAACAACAGTAGAGTCATATCTTAACTCGAGCCTTAAATCTTCAGAAGTGGGCTTGTATGACGTATTTATGACTTTTGGCTTGCAACCGAAGATACCTCAAGAAAAGTCGGAGATTGCCGAAGATTTTCTTTGCAAACGAAGTTGGCCGAGGGTACCACGAATGTGAAGAGGACGTCTCTAATTGGTCAAAAAGAGAGGCTCGGCATTCTCCGTCAGATTGAATCGGCAAAATTCGGTTGTATGGCTTACATTCGGCTGCATGGCCCAACCTTGATTGAATAGAAAAGATGCTGTCCCACTCTTTATAACACATGACCCTTATCTCATTTTCCCACAAATGACATGCACGAGATATTATTAAGAGATAAGTAAATGCATTAAGTGTTTGATTGATTATTGCTAATCCCTTGGAAAAGGTTCTCCCTTCATCGCCCTGTTTGTGACAAAAGACGTCCATTTATGCGTGATTATAACAATACCATTCAGAGGAAAGATGAGATTTAGACAGATGACTTTAGACATCAATTCTCATGCCCCACTTAATATATAAAATTTATTATTTGCCATTAAAATTGATTTTAGAACACCGATGCACAGCAGCCGATAATGGCCAAGGGGGATTGGATCCCAGAATGCAATCTCGATATTCTGCCATATATAGCTCGATACAAAAATCCAAGATAGAGTCCCATTTTTAACTTCAGAATTTGAATCGCAAATTTTGGTCTTATTACCTAACAAAAAATAAAAGATCGGGAAGGGATCAAGATATCAGGTCAGATTTTTTGATTGTTTATTGTGGATTTATAGCTAGATAAATGTCAGACAATTGTTGGGAAATACCGAGTTGGAATCTTGGGGTACAATTCTCCTTGCGAAGATGACCGAGCAAAAACTGATCTTTCTGGTAAGCGGTTAATGCGTCAGTCACATTTGATCTACGGCGACCGCACGTCGACAGTAGTTCCCTGAGATAAATAAATTTAAATTATGTTACAAAATAAACGAGCCAACTGGTGGTGAAACTGGTAACTACCTCCTCGCATCTGAGTTATCGAGTGTCGTCCCAGAAATGTGAAAAGGCATGCGCAGTTCAAATTGTGTTTTCTGAGCGTCTGTTCTTATTCACTATTGAGTATAAATCAAACATACCACGCGCTTAAAGTCCGAGAAGATATATTAAGTATTGATTAAAGATAAAAAGTGGATATCATCGCTTGGCTAGAAAGTGATCCTATGTCAATTTTTAGTTCAAAAATTGAACAAAAACTCTGGTAGGCAAGGGTTAAGCAAATGTAAATATTGAACAATCAGACATATATGCACTTAGATATTTTATTACAGAACGATACTCCAATCGTGTGTTGAACATTTGGAAAACAATAGAGAATAAATATATTTACGTACAACTTAATACGTAGACACTACTCTTATCATTATAACAGGACATCGTGGAATTGATTTATTCATGTTTTCAAATTATCAATAACACTCTATCACACCAAAGTAGTTCTCAATCGTTCTTGTGTCACACAAAAAATCTTAAAATGGGCTAAATCTGGCTCTGGTCGGGAAATATGTATAACATAATTAGCTACTTCGTTCATAAACAGTCTTCAATACGTCCATCTCGTCAATTACTATCATGAATTTAAAAATATTGGTATCAATTATTAAAAAGAGAATCAGATATAGCGAGTATACTAGGCTAAACAAAAAATTGTTTCAATTTTAGAATATTTCTGGCTCATGTCATTCCTTGTCATGTCTATTTTCTAAAAATCACAAAAGTACATACTTTATTCCGGGAAAACAAAAGATTTTTACAATAATGTATTATTTTTCTGTAAGAATGGTTACCATTGTTATTATTTGGGGGAATTTAAACATTTTTCACCCATTTTTGCACTTTGAATCATTAATAACTTCATCAATTTTATATTGTGAATCTTTTGGGAAATATTGTATTTGATATTGTAAGGAATAGATTGGTAGGTCGATTATACATGTAGCTTGTAATTTTGTCACCCCCTGTAGATCAGATTCTGCCTTTAAGGAGAAACATTACAGCTATTGGCATTTTAAACTAGACTAGCTAAGCCTTCTCGATCTCTTGATTTTGAAATTCCATTGCAACTGATTCAAATGTTAATAAGATTTTATTTATTTATTTATTTATTCATTTATTTATTTATTCATTCATTTATTCGTTTATTTATTTTTTTATCTAGTTACAGTAACTCATGTACAACATCCATCATAATTCACAATGGTAACCCATAAAATAGCAAAATGTGTCACATTTCAAGCGTGAGGAAAAATATGAATAAATAATCTAAAATTAGAGGAGTATATATGTGATAGAATATAACATTGAAACATGTTTTATATGAAAAGGAATATCCAAAGTTTAACGATTTTCTCTTGAACATATGAATGGACTACCAGATATCGATAAACCTTGGTATCTCTTTCCAAGTGAAGAGAATTGCACGACAGAAGCGTTGAAAGATTGCTCGCCAGGCCTAGATGAACCAATAGTAGTAAAACATACAAGAAATAACTACCCGGCTCCCAGAGTCTAGTTATAAACTACCCTCTGCCTATTGTAGACTATATTACAGTTTAGCAGCCCCGCCCCGAAGAATGGTGCCTGTGACAGCCCGGGTAATAAATAATTTCAAATCTACCACGCCGATCCTTTCTCAACCAATCAGCAAAGTTGAAGGAACACGCGCTCAATACTTGTTCATATGCGGGGATGTGAGAGCAAATGAGCATGTAGAAAGTCGACCGTATTTCGACGACGAACTCTGATTGAAGAAGTGAAGTCGAACGAATTCAAAGGGTAAGAAATACTTTACCTTTACCATTTTTTCATATAGCAAACTTATCTATCCAAACAGGGGTTTTTCCAACTAAGTTGAAAGTAGCCGTAATTATCCCACTATTTAAAAGAGGGAACACTTCAAATTTTTGAAACTATAAACCTATATCTCTACTTAATGTTTTTTCTAAACTCTTAGAACAGATCATGAAAAATAGAGTAATAACATTTATTTAAACACACAAACTTTTATTCAAAAATAAGTTTGGTTTAGAAAACATTATCAACTTACAGGTATATGGCAATCCTCTCCTTATTGGAAGAAGTGAGTATATCTCTAGATAAAATCTCAACTCATGCTATTGGAATATTTTAAGATTTATCGAAATCTTTCGATACAGTTAATCATGAAATCCTTCTAAAAAACTTGAAAATATTGGAATTCGTGGTGTTGTAAAAAATGGTCTCAAAAGCTATTTATCTGAAAGAAAAATCATAACCTCTTTTAACAATACTCTATCTGAAGAAAACTCGGGGTGTACCTCAATGGTCTGTTTTAGGCCCCATCTTATTCATTCTCTATATAGATGATTTACATAAGGTTTCACATATTCTTAAATTTACTATTTTCGCGGATGATACAAATATCTTATGTTCAATCAAAAATCTTCATGATTTATATAAAAATGTAAATTTAGAAATGGAAAAGACATTAGAATGGTTCAAATCAAACAAACGTTTAATCAGTTTTAATCCAAAATTTGCCGAATATAACTAATAATGGGGTCCATTTCTTCGTAAACAGGATTTAGTAGACAACCCAGTGAAGACCCAGAGGTACCATACTTCTGGAGGGGGTGTACCTTGTTTGATGCTTTACGATCGTGTTCACTTTGTGTATCGTATTCTTTGAAACCTTTTATCTCTTCCCTTCATTTTTAAAATGACAACACCTGCACTATACTTTTCTTAATAATCTTCATACTTGGTTATTAATTAGGCGAAGCACAGTGCGAAGAATATATTTTCTTGAGTTTCTTCACACTTGCTTAAGCGAATAATCGTAAGTCAGCGTCTTATTTATCGATTTGCTCATAACGGTATTCATTCGCAATGTTGGCCGACTATACCATATCAGTGGCATGTACACACCTCAATGCTAAGTTAATTACAATTTGCGACTATAAATAACGACTCATGACAGTCGTATCCATCAATAATTCACTAGGAAACTATTTTCGGCAAGGTGAAATGTGTATTTCATTGGA